GTTCTACCATAGACCCCTTACTATGCTTGGATACGTATGTTCGTAATGCCTTTGCGAATAACCACTCGGTTATTGCCATATTTTTTGACCTTGAGAAGGCATATGACACAACTTGGAGGTATAATATTTTAGCCCAAGCCCACTCCTTAGGCCTACAAGGCAATCTACCATCCTTCCTTAAGAACTTTTTAACTGACAGGCATTTCCGTGTTCGGGTTAATAATGTGCTCTCCCCGGACTTTATCCAAGCTGAAGGTGTCCCCCAGGGATGTGTTCTGAGCACAACACTTTTTCCTCCTTGCTATTAATGATTTGGCCTCTAGTCTTCCATCAAATATTTGGTCATCACTCTACGTTGATGACTTTGCTATTGCCTGTGCAGGCGCTGACTGTCACCTCATTACAGTTTCTCTCCAGCATGCAGTCGACCGTGTTTCCAATTGGGCCACCACACATGGGTTTAAATTTTCCAGCACTAAAACCCACCAAATTACTTTCACTAGATGCTCTGTCATCTCCGATCATCCTTTGTACCTCTATGGCTCCCGTATCCCTGAACGTGATAGTCAAGTTTCTGGGCCTCCTCTTTGACCGTAGGTTATCCTGGAAACCTCACATTACCTCTCTGAAGGCAATTTGTCACAGCCGGCTGAACCTTCTTAAAACCCTTGCTCATCTTTCATGGGGAGCTGATTGTTGAACCCTCCTTCGCCTACATTCCACCCTCATTTTATCGAAACTTGATTATGGTGACCAGATCTATTCCGTGGCATCTCCTGCTACTCTCTCTAGCCTTAACCCCATTCATCACCAAGGATTACGTTTATGCCTTGGTGCTTTTCGCTCTTCCCCTGGCGAGAGCCTCTATGCAGAAGCGAACGTTCCATCCTTATCCGATCGCCGTGATGCCCATTGCCTTCGCTACTATGTACGCTCTCATGATCTCCGCAATCCTTCCATTTATAGAATGGTCACTGATATTAGTAGACATTCTTTATTTGTTCGCCGCCCCTGTTTACTCCGTCCCTTCTCTTCGCCTTCATTTGCTCGTCTTCTCTTCAATTACCACCTTTCTATGTTCATGTAGCATCTCACTTTTCCCTACCCCCCTGGGAAGTTCCAGCTGTTTGAGTTTGTTCTTTCTCTCTCCCTTGCTCAAAAGCCCAACTGTCTATGGTCGCTTCCCGCTCTCTTTTTCTTGACCACTTCCACTCTCATTCTCATGCCATTGCTGTGTACACAGATGGCTCTAAGTCTTCAGACGGCGTAGGATTCGCAGCAGTGTTTCCGGACAGTGTCGTACGAGGGCATTTACTATCTTCGGCTAGTATTTTTACTGCTGAATTGTATGCCATCCTTGCAGCACTTATCCGTATTGCATCTATGCCTGTGTCATCATTTGTGGTTGTCTCAGACTCCCTTAGTGCTTTACAGGCTATACAGAAATTTGATACACCTCACCCCTTAGTCCTCTGTATCCAACTTTGGCTACGCCGCATCTTTACCATGCATAAAGATATTGTTTTTTGTTGGGTCCCTGGTCATGTTGACGTACAGGGCAATGAACAGGCAGACACTGCTGCGCGGTCAGCAGTACATGACCTACCAGTTTCATATAGAGGCATTCCATTTACGGACTATTTTGCTGCAAAATCTTCCCACCTTCACACCCGTTGGCAACAACGTTGGTCTACTATGCTCGGCAACAAACTTCAATCTATTAAACCGAGTATAGGTTACTGGCCGTCTTCTTATCACCAGTGTCGAGGTTGGGAGACTACTCTCTCTCCGCCATACTCGTCTTATTATGGATATCTTGTGGAGAGGCGCCCTGCTCCTCTGTGAGAATTGCCAAGCTCCATTATCAGTCAGCCAAATTCTGTTGGACTGCCCACTTTATCAACGAGCACGCAGAATTTACCTCCGTCGTCGTCTTCGCTCCTCTGCTCTCTCTTTACCTTCCCTTCTCGCTGATGGACCCACCTTTCATCCGGACACACTCATTGACTTTTTGACAACTGACTTGCTTCACAAATTCTGATACCTTTAGCCCTTACTACTTCAATCTCTTGCTACCCTCTACCCCCGTACTATCCCCTGCCCCGCTGTTTTCTGTAACCTACTGATCATCCCTCCTCCCTTCTGCCATCCAATACCCTCGCTTCCTTCCCTACCCTGCAGCGCTGTATAGCCCTTGTGGCTTAGCGCTTCTTTTTGATTATAATAATTTTCCTCCTCTGCAGCAAGATTCTGAGCTGCAATCTGTTGCTGTTCCTGCTGAAGCTCTTGCAGCTCCTCAGTGGTTAGCTCTTCGTTGGGGTCCTCCACCAACTCTTCCACATCCAACCCCATGTAACTCCCCAATGCCACAATAGATTTCACAACTGACATAGGCTCATCAGGGTCAGCCACAAGCCCTTCAAAATCCCTCTTGTGGACACAATCTGGCCACAATTTTCTCCAAGCAACAACAGCTTCCTTGATTTACTTTTTCTTTGCCACGATGGAAGATATGGTTGTATGGGGTTTGTTATACATCCTGGCCAGTTCGGCCACATGTACGCCACTTTCATATTGTTCAATGATGTTTTTCTTAAATTGAATCGTATTTCTCACCTTCTTTACCAAGGGCTTGGCACTAGCTTTCTTTGGAGCCATGGTAGCTTATTTAGCACTTGCAAGCACTAAAATGAATGGAATATTATGAAATATTTTGTATGAACAAGTGAGGGGACCATCGCTCACTGGTAAACAATGGCTGGGAAGGGAGGCCGAGGCGGCTCAGAGCCGAGAGTACATGTCCAGGATGAATGACGATTAGCGAGTCAACCGACCATTTGCAAACCAATGTTTGGACGAAAATAACGCGATGATTTCCGAAACGGACGACTGTCGAGCCTGACGATTATCGAGGGACCACTGTATGTTTCCTTGTGAAATTTGAATTTAAATAATAGGAGTACTACAATAATAGACACAATTAGCTGAAATATTTTCTAGTAAAAAATAAATATAAATTGTGTTAAGCACTTGTTTATTGTTCCAGAAATTACCATGGGTTTAGGAAAACTACTGGAAATGCTGAATACATGCTGTGGAAAATATAGGATAATACAAAGTAAAGAATCAAGACTTTACATGGAATTAGTAAATATTACTGTACTGTTAGAAAATGGTGGATGTAGCTACCATATATTACCAACCATTAGTTGGGCCATATCATAAGGAGTAGCATTTCACTCCCCAAAATTAAATTTTTTGCATAACCTCTCCTATAAGTCATTAGTATCAACATGCTTGGTGCTACATCCTCTGCCTTTCTGTCACCTTGTCGCTGTATAGTCCTTGTGGCTTAGCGCTTCTTTTTGATTATAATAATCTGTCACCTTGTCATATTATTATCATCAAAAATGAAGCACTAAACCACACGGGCTATACAGTGCTGCAGTTCAGGAAGGAAGCGAGAGTATCGGGTGGCAAAAGGGAGAAGGATGAGTAGTAGGTTACGGAGAACAGAGGGGCAGTGGATAGTGACAGAGCGCAGCAAGGGCTGAGGGGACACCTTGCCATAGGTTCTGGTTGTGTCATGGACCTGTAAGGTAGACTTACAGTATTACTGCAGTCTTCCAGTGATGATTTAGAGCCATGATAAATTTGTATGTAATTCAGCAGTAACTTTCTTACATATGAATTGTCTGTACCACTTTTAAGTGTACAAGATATCATGGAGTGCTAAACCCGTAGGATTATACAGCACATCGGGGAGGTAATGCAAGGTATTCAAGACTCAATTCAGAGAACCGGAGCACAGATCCAGTTCCCTAGATAAAGAGCCCCTCACCAGCATCAAGGAACCTCCCTTGAGGGGAGTTTACAAGATAATGGTACTGCACTCATCCGTTTCCAATTTTAGCAGCTGAAGCATGGAATAGTTATTGGTTTACTTGTATGTGCATCATCAGGATTAAAATGTATTATTATTATAATAAAAAAGAAGCGTTAAGCCACAAGGGCTATTAAAATGTAAAGAAACTGAATATAATGTTGATAATATACATTGTGCATCACTTGTGGGTCTTTGTGATATATTGTGGCAACTAACTAGTTAAGACCTGACCATGCAGTATAGGCTTTATCCTGCACTCTGCTACTCCATTCCTTCTCCCTATCATTGGAGTAAAAATCTGAGGGAGGCTTGTGTAAAATCAACATTGTTTGACCTTTAAGAATTATACAGTACAGGTACAGTATTGGTTTTTTGGCACCCTTGGTGCTTAGGCCTTGCTGGAATATCAATCTTACCAGACCAACAGAGGTTGCACAATTCAACAATATATATCTGACCCACCATGGATTGCTAGAAACTTGAATTTAACATTAATTAATAAACCTATCATTTATATTTAATGTATTTAAAAAAAACATTTTGGTACTACCACTCCCAAAGCCAGTGAGAAATGCAGCTGGATTCAAAGCAGCTAAGGATAGTTTCAGCTTGGCTTCTGCAAGATAATACATCAGATATCTTAAATTGCATACCTATGCTCATATTGCTAAAAGAATTCTGGACAAGATCGTGCAAAATCAGTTCAGATACTGATTTGACAAATAGCAGGAAACAGATAATGATTATCCCTCGAGTTTCCCAAAGATCTGTTCCCGACTTGTTCCATTACATTACCATCACTTATCCCCCCTCACCAATTAAAATACTGCTACTTCCTTTACCAGTACAATACCTGACCCTGTCATTAATCTTTTTTCTTCAGAAATGACACACGTAGGTGGCAATCAAAATAATGTTATCCAATTCATATCTCTACTCAGTCCTATCTTAACTTTCCTTATTATCAAATCTTGCTTAAGAGTTTGACACCAGGAATTAAAAATTGTCATTTATTTGAACAAGTACAAATTTTAATAATCATGAGCTGTTAAACATTAAAGCTAGAAAATGAACTCAATCATGTAAATTTAATTTATACTAAGACTCCTTCAGGTTCAGCACTTATCTTTATTATTACTGTACACTGAAATTATTTTTGCTAAGCTTTTTTTTTTATGGATTCTAGTGCTGTATGACTCATTTGGGTTTAGCACTTATTATAATATGGATTCTACATCAAATGAATTAAATAAATTTTGCACAAATAAAAAAAAAATCTTAAAAATTAAAGTATGTTGCTAACTATACTTTGGTATAAACAGGAAATTTCAGTAAGGTATGTGAATATAGATAAAACATTTTCAAAGTTATGAGGTAATTTGATCGGACATTAATAATTCAAGTAACCAAGTACATGTATTACTCTTATTGCAATCTTAAAAATAATCTATATATCCATTAAAGGTTAAAATTTTGCTTGAATCTAAACATACACCTTTCAAGGGAGGTGTCTTGGTGCCAGTGAAAGACAGAATACTCTTCCTTTTCTTGAATCAAATCTTGATTTTTGCTTTCCAGTCCCAAAGTGCTCTTCATGCATATAAATATAATTACATCATTTAGTATTATTCTTAACCATTTGCCCACATCCTGGTCTCAGATCAGGCCTCTTAGGCTTGAAAGGAAATATTACATGGTTAAGAACTATAATTATATACACTGTACTAGCTCTTCGGATAGAAATTTTGGAGAAAACCGATTTTTTTTTTTAAATCTCCAAGGCACATTAAAATTTTTGAACAATGCTTAGTTACCAAAAAGATTACCATAACTGGTTCATTGGAGCATTGCTTTTATTATACAGTAACAACTTCTAGAGGGGTATTATAAACTTGTAATGCATAATGGTATGATAAGTGTATTATGAAAAAACTGTAGCAACTCAAGTTTCCACTCTCTGTGCACTCTATTTTCACCCCCAGCATACCAACAAGGGCAGTGTAAGAACTGTAGCAAGTCTGCTGCACACCTTATTCCACTGCAAATGTTTGAAGTTGCAAAAATTAGTGATTAATTCAAGGAGTGTTTGCTCAAGTTCTAAATTATTTTTAAATAAAGATATAGTAGTTAGAAGCATGTAATACGTTTGCTTTTTATAAAATATTGCAGTTTTCCAATACCAATGCTGCATGCTAGCTGCCAAAGGCTATTTTATACCTACACAGAGTCCATTATAAAAAAATTACTTTACCATCTCTATCAGTTTTGCTTACATGATTTCTCAGTAAAATAAGTGGATATCTGCAAGACCTGTACTGTGTGTCCATGGTAAATAGTCTACATTACACAAATTTTACTATTTCTGACTTGCAGAGGGATGGAAATACTCTTAGTAGAAACATTAACAATCTTAGTTGTAATGACTAATTTATACTTAATATATTACCAAATTAATGAAAAACTGGTAATCTTTTGTGAGATGTAAATGTTCAATAAGCGTTACTAAAAATTATTCACTACCTTAAATTTATTTACAAAATGCTGAAGGAATGATAAATACAAATATCATTCATTTACATTTAATTTCGTGCTATTGTATATTAGATACCTGGATGTCCTCTTCCTAGAAAGATGAAAATACAAAACATATTATCAAAGGTTAACACAATATTTTTTTTTTTAAACAAGTTGGCCATCTCCCACCGAGGCAGGGTGACCCAAAAAGAAAAAAAAATCATCAAAAAGAAAATACTTTCATCATCATTCAACACTTTCATCTCACTCATACATAATCACTGTTTTTGCAGATGTGCTCAGAATACAACAGTTTAGAAGCATATACATATAGAGATACACAACATATCCCTCCAAACTGCCAACATCCCAAACCCCGTCCTTTAAAGTGCAGGCATTGTACATCCCATTTCCAGGATTCAAATCCAGCTAAATAAAAATAACCGGTTTCCCTGAATCCCTAAACTAAATATTACCCTGCTCACACCAACAGCTCATCAGGTCCCAAATACCATTCGTCTTCATTCACTCCTATCTATCATCCTCATGCACACTTGCTGGAAGTCTAAGCCCCTCGCCCACAAAACCTCCTTTACCCCCTCCCTCCAACCTTTTTAAGGATAACCCCTACCCCTCCTTCCTTTCCCTACAGATTTATACGCTCTCCATGTCATTCTACTCTGATCCATTCTCTCTAAATGACCAAACCACATCAACAACCCCTCTTCAGCCCTCTGACTAATACTTTTATTAGCTCCACACTCCGAATTTTCTGCATAATATTTACACCACACATTGCCCTTAGACAGGACATCTCTACTGCCTCCAACCGTCTCCTCGCTGCAGCATTTACAACCCAAGCTTCACACCCACATAAGAGTGTTGGTACCACTATACTTTCATACATTCCCTTCTTTGCCTCCATAGATAACGTTTTTTTTGCCTCCACATACCTCAACGCACCACTCACCTTTTCTCCATCAATTCTATGATTAACCTCATCCTTCATAAATACATCCGCTTGACACGTCAACTCCCAAATATCTGAAAACATTCACTTCTTCCATACTACTACTCCTCTCCAATTTGATATCCAATTTTTCTTTATCTAAATCATTTGATACCCTCATCACCTTACTCTTTTCTATGTTCACTTTCAATTTTCTACCTTAACACACACTCCCAAACTTGTACACTAACCTTTGCAATTTTTCTTTAGAATCTCCCATAAGCACAGCATCATCAGTAAAAAGTAACTGTCAATTCCCATTTTGTATTCGATTTCCCATAATTTAATCCCACCCCTCTCCCAAACACCCTAGCATTTACTTCTTTTACAACCTCATCTATAAATATATTAAACAACCATGGTGACTTTACACATACCTATCTAAGACCCATTTTTACTGGTAAGTAGTCTCCCTCTCTTCTACACACCCTAACCTGAGCCTCACTATCCTCAAAAACTCTACAGCATTTAGTAACTTACCACCTATTCCATATACTTGCAACATATGCCACATTGCTCCCCTATCCACTTCATATGCCTTTTCTAAATCCATAAATGCAATAAAAACTTCCCTACCTTTATCTAAATACTGTTCACATACATGCTTCAATGTAAACACTTGATCTACACATCCCCTACCCACTCTGAAACCTCCTTGCTCATCCGCAATCCTACATTCTGTCTTACCTCTAATTCTTTCAATTATAACCCTACCGTACACTTTTCCTGGTATACTCAGTAAACTAATTCTTCTATAATTTCTAGAATATTTTTTGTCCCCATTCCCTTTATATAAAGGAATCAAACATGTTCTCTGCCAATCCCTAGGTACCTTCCCCTCTTTCATACATATATTAAACAAAAATACCAACCATTAACACTATATCCCTCCCTGCTTTTAACATTTCTGTCATGATCCCATCAGTTCCAGCTGCTTTACCCCCTTTCATTCTACGTAATGCCTCACGTACCTCCCCCACACTTACATTCTGCTCTTCTTCACTCCTATAAGATGGTATACCTCTCTGACCAGTGCATGAAATTACCACCTCCCTTTCTTCATCGTCATTTAAAAGCTCCTCAAAATATTCCCGGCATCTACCCAATACCTCCATCTCCCCATCTACTAGCTCCCCTACTCTGTTTTTAACTGACAAATCCATTTGTTCCCTAGGCTTTCTAAACTTTTTTTTTTTAACTCGCTCCAAAATTTTTTCTTATTTTCCTCAAAATTTCTTGACAGTGCCTCTCCCACTCTATCATCGGCTCTCCTTTTGCACTTTCTCACCACTCTCTTCACCTTTCTTTTACTCTCCATATACTCTGCTCTTCTTATAACACTTCTGCTTTGTAAAAACCTCTCATAAGCTACCTTTTTCTCTTTTATCACACCCTTTACTTCTTCATTCCACCAATCACTCCTCTTTTCTCCTGCACCCACCCTCCTATAACCACAAACTTCTGCTCCATATTCTAATACTGCATTTTTAAAACTATTCCAACCCTCTTCAACCCCCCCACTACTCATACTTGCACCAGTCCACCTTTCTGCCAATAGTTGCTTATATCTCACCTGAACTTCCTTCTCCCTTAATTTATACACTTTCACCTCTCTCTTACTTGTTGTTGCCATTTTCCTCTTGTCCCATCTACCTCTTACTCCAACTGTAGCTACAACTAAATAATGATCCGATATATCAGTTGCCCCTCTATGAATATGTACATCCTGGAGCCTACCCATCAACCTTTTATCCATCAATACATAATCTAAAACTACTTTCATTACGTGTTATATCATACCTTGTATATTTATTTATCCTTTTTTCATAAAATATGTATTACTTATTACCAAACCTCTTTCTACACACAGCTCAATTAAAGGATCCCCATTTTCATTTACCCCTGGCACCCCAAATTTATCTACTACTCCCTCCACAACATTTTTACCTACTTTAGCATTGAAATCCCCAACCACAAGTACTCTTGCACTTGGTTCAAAACTCCCCATACATTCACTCAACATTTCCCAAAATCTCTCTCTGTCCTCTACACTTCTCTCTTCTCCAGGTGCATTATACGCTTATTATAACCCACTTTTCACATCCAACCTTTATATATGCCATACCCATCTTTATGACCTATATTCTTTTTGCAGGCTGTAATATAAATAAAGGCCCATAAAGCATCCTTAACCCTTAAACTGTCCAAAAGTAGATCTACGTTTTTTCAACATTTGAAAGTATGTAAAAAAAAAAAGATATTTTCTTTTTTTTATATTTGAAAATGTGTAAAAAAAACAGATCTACTTTTGGAGCACTACGCATGTGAAGGTAAATTTGTTTGGACAGTTTAAGGGTTAACTAGTAAAAACATTAGAGCCTAGTTTCTAAGTTAACAATGGTAATAACCTTAATGACTTTTAGTGAACCACCTTACAAATTAACTTACATTAATGATGAAAATTAACCTCAATGACTTTCATCAATAACATAAAAAGATGTTTATTCTACCCTACTTCAAAGAAATAAATTAACAAGAATGTTAATAATGTCATATATGATTTACAAAGTGCAACAAACAAATCCACTTTTAGTATAAAAAAATTTCAAATGTTTTTTTTTAAAAGCATGAAGAATACATAAAATGAACTCACCTGGAAATAACTTAAGTGCATAAGTATAATTAGTAACTGTATTTATGATTAGTTGAAAAAAAGTCTTCTATACTGTCTGGTGTTGATTGGTCTCCTTGTGAACGTTTCTGAAGCTCTTTCAGTATGTTGCATTTCATCTCTGTTTCTGTTATCAACTGCAGGGTAGAAATAATTTTCTTTAATTAAAGAATCTCAAAAGTGTGTACACAAAACATCTCATAAATGGTTTTGAAAACCAACAAGTTGAAGATTGAGACACTTATGTAACATATGGGAATCTTTATAAAGATTCCCATATGTTGCACAAGTGTCTCAATCTTCAGACACAAAACACACAAATTTGCAATACAGTACTTTAAATTTTCTTAATTTTGATAATTCATTCTTATTTACTAAAGTCTCTCACAAATAACTTTGAATGCATGTGGGTTTTTGGTACTGGATATTTTGTTTTGGATTACTGAAAAAACCTACAAATTTATATTCAATCAATGAAGCTTGTTAATAATGTGGTCACTGAATTTCCCCACATCCATAACTTTTTCTTTCTGTTTACTCTATTTTTTAATGAATGTAAATATTAATGAGATTACAACATTAACCTTTGAGCAAAGTAACATTTATGAAGGTAAGTACAGTGCCTGTACTATAAAGGAGGGAAAGAATGCATTCATTGTGAATTTGTAGGGTTGACTGTATATTATACCTGCAATGGCAGGTGTTCCCCAAATAAAAATAGTAATAACAATGCCCCACTTCCAGCTTGATAGCCACCCTTAAGCTCCCCCTCAGTATACAAATTCTGGTGCTGCCCCTGTATGCATGATATTCATGATGCAATACTGTATTTAGTTGCTTGTATTTATATATTGTAGAATGAACCTTTTTTTTTTTCTTTTTAACAAGTCAGCAGTTTCCCACCGAGGCAGGGGTGACCCTACAAAAAAGAAGGGGTCGGCCTAGGAAAGGTTGGAGAGAGGGGGTAAAGGAGGTTTTGTGTGCGAGGGGCTTGGACCTCCAGCAGGCATGCGTGAGCGTGTTTGATAGGAGTGAATGGAGACAAATGGTTTTTAATACTTGACATGCTGTTGGAGTGTGAGCAAAGTAACATTTATGAAGGGGTTCAGGGAAACCGGCAGGCCGGACTTGAGTCCTGGAGATGGGAAGTACAGTGCCTGCACTCTGAAGGAGGGGTGTTAATGTTGCAGTTTAAAAACTGTAGTGTAAAGCACCCTTCTGGCAAGACAGTGATGGAGTGAATGATGGTGAAAGTTTTTCTTTTTCGGGCCACCCTGCCTTGGTGGGAATCGGCCAGTGTGATAATAAAAAAAATAAAAAAAAAATTCATCATTCAACACTTTCACCATCACTCATACATAATCACAGTCTCTGCAGAGGCGCTCAGATATGACAATTTAGACATCCCTCCAAACTGCCAATATCCTAAACCCCTCCTTTAAAGTGCAGGCATTGTACTTCCCATTTTTAGGACTCAATCCAGCTAACCGGTTTCCCTGAATCCCTTCAAAAAATATTACCCTGCTCACACTCCAACAGCTTGTCAGGTCCCAAAAACCATTCGTCTCCATTCACTCCTATCTAACATGCTCACACACACTTGTTGGAAGTTCAAGCCCCTCTCCCACAAAACCTCCTTTACCCCCTCCCCCCAACCTTTTCGGGGATAACCCCTACCCTGCCTTCCTTCAACAGATTTATATGCTCTCCAAGTCCTTCTACTTTGTTCCATTCTCTCTAAATGACCAAACCAGCCCTCTTCACCCCTCTGACTGAATTATAATTAAATTACAAGTAATTTTTCATTTTTATTAGCAAATATAAATACATACTGTACAAAATTAATCTTTATTAGCTTAGTTATTTTCACAGATAAACTAAAAGGTGCTGAAGAGATACACTAAATTGAAGAAGCAGTGGTGAAGGGATAAAGAAAGCAGTTTCTGACAGCAACAGAACAATGGGATGGGTTACAAAAGGATGCAAGTGCTACAGCTGATAGAAATTAATTAAAAAATTATACAATACAATAAAAAATTCAGTGTGGACACCACAAGGTTAGCAGTTCTCTCATAGCTTCAAAGTAATAACTACTACTACAGTACTTACATGAACAGAACTGTATGATTCTTTTTTCTGGTAGAATTCTGTGAGGGACTTCAACAGTAGACTGATGACCTCATGGGCCAGATCTTCATCACTGTAACTCTGTATCGTACAATCAGCCTACAGAAAAAGTTGGGGTAATGTAACACAAGTTCAACAACAATAATCAACTTTATCATCAACTACCATCTAAAGATAATGAAAATCTTTAAAATATTACACTACTCATTCATCCTCGGTAATTTAAACTGTCTTAACTGGACGACTCGGACATGTGAAGCCACAAGTGTGCAGAGGAGTGAGTGAGGTGAGTGTGTGAGGAGTCCACACGCACAACCTGGCTATGGGAAAGAGGTAATTGGCCAGCCCTTTGCTCTGAGCTCGCCACCACCGACTGGAATGCTCTTCTCCAGGGGGATGTTTGACAACCAAGTGAAAGCCTTCACTGGACACATCCTTAATCTGCAACAAGAACACATTCCTCACCGGCAATATGTGACAAAGCCTACAGATCAGCCTTGGTTTGGCTTTCGTTGTAGAGAGGCTGCTACTGCTAAGTACAAAGCATGGCGAAGGTATAAGAGACATCCTACCACCTATAACAGGAACTTGCACATGCAAGCCTGTAGGCATATGGGTGATGTTCAAAAGTGGGCCATTGCTAAATGGGAGGTGGACACTAAAAGAAAGTTAGCATCAGGTAGGGTAGGCTCCAAAACCTGGTGGTCCCTGGTCAAGGACAGACAAGGTTATCTGCCTGATGAACTTATTCCACCTCTAAATCGACAGGATGGGACCACCTCTACTAGTAGTCAAGAGAAGGCGGACCTCTTTGCTGAACACTTTGCTACCAAAATGCAAGTTCCTGATCCAGCAAGGGACCCTCCTTGGCTAGCTGCAAGAACTGTGTCAAAACTGTCAGTGGTGACAATAAGGCAGGAGGAGGTGCATTTCCTTCTTAAATCACTTGACCAAGAAAAGGCTGTGGGCCCAGACAAGTTGAGCCCAAGATTGTTGAGAAGATGTGCAGACCAGCTAGCAGCACCTCCAACTCGCATCTTTCAGCACTGCCTAGTACAGTGTAAATGGCCCTCTCCATGGAAAGAGGCAAATGTAGTCCCTGTTCACAAAAAGAAGAGCAGAGCAGAAATCAGCAACTACAGACCAGTGTCACTCCTGTCAATCACTGGTAAGATCCTTGAAACAATTATCTCAAGACAAATGACAGATTTTTTTGACTACCACTCACTACTTTGTGATCGTCAATATGGCTTCAGGAAAGGTTACTCTGCTGCTGATCTGTTGCTAAACCTCTCCACTAAGTGGCACCAGTCACTGGATGAATCCAAAGTCAGCTGTGTGGTAGCACTGGACATTGCTGGCGCTTTCGACCGGGTGTGGCACCAGGGCCTCTTAGCAAAACTTCAAGCACTGGGAATTGCAGGCTCTACGCTATGTCTCCTCAGTGATTACCCTTCATGGTAGATCTCTAAGTGTAGTCCTCAATGGAACGGAATCAGCAAGGCATCCTATTGGGGCAAGCGTTCCACAAGGAAGCGTGCTGGGTCCACTGTTATGGAATGTCTACTTCAACGACCTTCTTCATCTCATCCCAGAATCATATGCATATGCAGACGACTGTACACTGACATTCACTTATCCAAGAGAAGAAATGCCAGCTGCTCTAAGCTACATCAATCACCAGCTGAGAGCTATATCAGCTTGGGGAAATAGATGGCAAGTAACATTTGCACCTGAGAAAATGCAAATGATGATCGTCTCTAGGCACCATGATGGTAATGCTGGTGCAGTAGTAAGGATGAATGGGAGGATGTTGGCACCTGGAGAAGAAGTTGATATCCTTGGGGTGAAATTTGACTCCAAACTAACCATGAAGAACCATGTTGTAAATCTTGCAAACAAGGCAGCCAGGAAGCTTACAGCACTTCGCCGTATCTCGCATCTGCTTGACAGTAGGGGTTGCAAGATCCTGTACGAGGCACAAGTACGCTCACACCTTGAGTATGCTCCACTTTCTTGGTTTGCCTGCCCCCCCTCTCATCTGCGACTGCTGGACAGAGTAGAGAACAGAGCAAGACGTCTCATCTCTCGCCTGGACCCATCCTGGATAGATCTGTCATTTCAGCAGAGCCTTCGACATAGGAGGGATGTGGGTGGCCTTACTGTTATGTACAAGGCCAATATTGTCAAAATACCACACTTGGATCCACTTCGAGGACAGCGTGAAACAAGCTTTTATGCCACAAGACGGGCAGAAAGCAGCAACTTCACTCTGGCTGTACCCTTCTCCAGAACATCACTCCATCTGAGATCATACATACCCAGGATGACTCGAGTATGGAACACATTCGTACAGCATAATGATATCAACGAGATAAAGTCAGTTGATCAAATGAAAATGCTGGCCCACAGATGGCTCCAACTTCATCCTGTTTCCTACTTGTATGTCTCATAACAATAAAAATGCTTTCAAATGAGCTGATGTAGGTAACAGCTCTTAGCTTGCCAATAAAGTTAGGAATCCTTAACCTGTAATATAGCTGTCAATAAAGCTAGGGATCCTTAACCTTGTCAAACCCTGTGTAAAAAAAAAAAAAAAAAAAAAAAAAAGATAGGACATATGAAGTCATGAGTGTCTGGATAGGGCATGTGAAACCTGAGCTTATGTGGCTAGTGTTTGTGAAGCCCTAGGAGTATGTACAGGGTCTGTGAAGCCCAGGGTTTATATGGATAAGGCATGAGACTCACTGGGTTCAGTGTGAACAATGGTACATATATGGTATGTAGGGGAGTCTGCAAGTAGCTACTATTTTGTACCTAGTGCCCCAACTCTTTAATATTTTACCAGTTATAACACTTGTACATTTGTAAGTTGAAATATAATGTCCCAGTGTTTTCTTCTTTTATGACAATAAAAGAATAACTTATTGAAGTGTTTACTCAGCTCTGAGTGTGGATACATACTGTATCCATACACTGAGCTGTAATGTTGGCACCCCTCTGACAAGAATGTAACGGAGTACGTGATGGCGAAAGTGTTTCTTTTTTTTTTCAAGTCACTTTACCTTGGTGGGAGATGGCATGTATGTAAAAAACAAATACTGTACATGTCTGTATAAGGCTGAGTAATCATTTTTTCAGGTGGCTGACAGCACATGTAACCTGGTCTTTTTTTTTTTTTTTTTTTTTTTTTTAGACCATTAGCCCCACCAGTGGTGTGAACATCCTAAAATATATAACAGACTAACCTGCTTCAGTGGAAGACGGCCAGCAGGAGAAACAAAAATAGTTGGAAAGTGTATTAAGCAGTGTGTGTATAGCAAATGCAGTTAACAACAATTCCAAACATGTTATTCTTGCAGTGTAGTATGTAGCCTTCCCCAGGCACCCAGGTACTCATAATATGGTTTCTAACTGAACTCCAGTAGACTACACTTATCAACTGGAATGGAACTTTCATTTTATGATCTTGCACACATCTCTAGGTCTCATGCAAATTTAAAGTTATTCTCAAAACTGTCCAAAAGCTAAAAATACAAAATAATAAAAGCATACAACACACCGTAGTAGCACATCATTTACCTCCTGTTTATCTGGAGTTTATCTGGAGAGAGTTCCGGGGGTCAACGCCCCCGCGGCCCGGTCTGTGACCAGGCCTCCTTAGGTCAGTGTCCCAGGATGCGACCCACACCAGTCGACTAACACCCAGGTACCCATTTTACTGATGGGGAACATAGACAACAGGTGGAAAGAAACACGTCCAATGTTTCTACTCTGGCTGGGAATCGAACCCAGGCCCTCACCGTGTGAAGCGAGAGCGTTAACCACCAGGCCACCAGAGCCTGTCACCGACAACTATGAAAAATAAATGCTTACATACCACTTGTTTAAGTAGTAATCCAGTTGGTCCACTACTGCGATCTACTTGAGGTGGTGGTGGAGTTAGGGCAGGTACCCTATAGTCAGAAATATTTGGGGGCGGAGGAGTAGGAGGGCGCCTGGAACGTTTATAGAATTCTGGTCCACTTCTGCGGGAAAAAATATATACGTACTGTAAATGAACTAGCTCAATGGAAATTTCAAAATTTCAAACTGTACTATTCTCTTTGACAGTAATATATGTATTAAAAAAGTTTAAATCTGTCGCAGTATCTCAATCCATCCTCCCATACCAACAGATTTTGTATCAGCTCAAGAAAGTAACAAACTAAAACTGGGTTGTCCAACTGGGAGTGCATGCACCCCTTGAGGGTGAATAGAACAATGCTATTTTATACCATTCTTTGGTGAATGATTTTGTTTATTCTACTTAAAAATTACTTGTAGGTAAATTATGGAAAATATCATGTATCAATGATAATAAATTATCAGCCAAATTCATGGCCAAACCAAGTAAGCTTCTGGTCAACCAGAAAACCAGATCTTACTTCAAATTACTCACTAGTAAAATGCAAAACCTGAAGTTTCACTCGACTAATGATTTTTTCTGCTAAGATTAAGCAATTCACATTTATTAACTTCACCGAAATGGAGAATTTATTTTTGTGCACTAGTAAATATGAATTTTTTTTATTTATAGATTCTAGTCCAGTATGTACTTTGGTTCTATAAATCAACAATAAAATTCAATATATTTTGGATATTAATTTTACTATAAAATATTTTATGAAATGAGAACGTGTGGGTTGGGATCAATTTCGTTTGGGGGTACACAAGCTAGCAAAGTTTAGACAACCCTGCACTAAACTGTTGATGTGGATGAAGAGGGGGGGGGGAGGGGCTTTACTTAATGTTTATTCACTAAAGACAATAGGTAGTCATGTTTGTTTCAAAACAGCAGTCATTTTATGTTAGCCCTTTGAAACAGTCTTGCCCTATACATTACTGCATTTATTGGTTCTACTATACAGCTGGGTAAAATTCGTTACACAAGGTTAACCCTGCCTAGTCAAACCAAGCCTCACCGAATCCACAAAAGTAAAGGTATTTAGAAAAATTGATACCAAGAAACTGAGAATAAAACCATAAAAACCATCCAAAAATACACTGCAAAACTGCCATTTTAAACCAAAAATGCAGTTGCAGTTTTTTCCCATCATGCACTGCATGAAGCAGCATTTTTTGTATGGTACACACTCATCACACAGATCCATTCTCTCATATCTAGGACAAAATTTACTACTCACAGCTTATCTGAGTGAGTTGAGCTTATCACAATCTATGGCACTGACCCAGAACTTCAATCCGTAGTATGTACTACGGCAATGACCTCAAAAGGGGTTAATGTAATGAACACAAATGTAGTTCATGTGTTATGCCCAATATTCTACATGCTGGATTGACTACCACAATATAGTAACTGCTACTTCATAGTGTGAATGTGACCTAATGGGATACAAAACAGTTTAAGAATAATTTTTAGCAAACATAATTTTTGGAGAATAATTCACAAATAATGCTGTAGTATACAACAATTTTAAGTAGTAGAAAGCTGTGATGCTCAAGTTCTCTATTGTATTATACTACACTGGTGCTACTTACAAGATGCATTCACACAAGTTTTACTGGAATGACAAGTTTAAAAAACAAATTTTCTGAAGAGCATTGGAAAAATGCTATTGTGAACTACCTCTTTGTTATTACACACAGGCAGGCCTTGCTTACACAACAGGTTAGGTTCTGGGCTGCTGCTGTAAAGCAGTGTAAATATATTATCAGGCTTATAAAAGCCTGATAACATGTTTACAAGTGAGCAATATACTAGGCCTAAAAAATGCATATACAGTACAAACATTACCTTGAAATATTTTTGTCCTTAGGTTATAGTGAATGGTGAATATATGTATTGTAGGAAGTCTGAATAAATGAAGAATGGGTATAATTGAAAATTGCCGCAATAGCAAAATGCCATAAAGTGAAGCACTGTAAAGTGGGGTCCACCTGTACTTATTTGTAATCATAAAGGAAATCTAAAATAATCAATGTTCACAATATGCTGAAATAATTGGAGAGCAATTATTTCGGTATGTTAGAATATGTTAGCATTAGAAAAACTTAGCAAGTTTGTCAAGAATGTTTGGAAATGTAGAAGTTAAAGGTTCAGAAAAGTTAAAAACAAGGTCTGAGAGATATGGGAAACTACATACATAGAATAAAGAGCCCCTTATTGCAGACTTGGTGCGAGATGATATCACTCACCGCCTTTCACGAATTGGGTCATCATATGACCGTGAGTTACTTAAGGGGCTGTATCTTCTTCTTCCTGAAATAATAAATGAAAATATTACTTTTTTTTTATAACACACTGGCTGTCTCCCACCAAGGTAGGGTACCTTGAAAAGAAGAAACACTTACAATCACTCACTATCACTGTCTTACCACAGACATCCTCACATTACAGCTCAGATGCCTTCCCAACATCAGCATCTCCACTGTTTTCAGAGTGCATGCACTGCACTTACCACCTTCAAGGACTCGAGTCTACCTAACCAGTTTCCTTTAATCTTTTCTTAACTGCTACCTTGCTTACACTCCAAGAGTATGTCAAGTCATAAAAACCATGTGCCTCTACATTACTATAGAAAATAATATGAAGTAACTGAAAAATATAGGGTACTGTATAAATAATACAATACACACAAAATGGAGGAAATAAATAATAAACAAGCATTTTTTCCTGAAGGCACATACATCTGAAGTAATTTCTTTAGTTTACAATTTATGTACAAAGAGACAAGACCAGAAATATGTGGAGACTTTGAAAACAGAACTAGAACAAAATTACTTACAGTGATATCACAGAGTTCAGTAGTATCGCTCAGAAAATTGATAATAATACATTATGGAGGGGTGTTGATATGTTGCAGTTTTTTAATGGTAATGTAGGCATGCCTCTGGCAAGACAGTGATGGAGTGATTGAGGATGAAAGTGTTTCTTCTTTTTGGGTCACCCTACCTTGGCGGGAAATGGCCGATGTGTTAATAAAAAAAAAAAAAAACATGGGTTTCTAAAGAAAGAAATATTAATACAGTAGTTAAACAGTAATAAAAATTTTTGTACAAAATAATGAATTAAAGATAAGGTATACAATATTTGTAGAAATTAGTCTTAATGACTTTTAATGTGATATATAGACAAACTTTATCAAAGATAATACAGTGGACCCCCGGTTAACGATATTTTTTCATTCCAGAAGTATGTTGAGGTGCCAGTACTGACCGAATTTGTTCCCATAAGGAATATTGTGAAGTAGATTAGTCCATTTCAGACCCCCAAACATGCATGTACAAACGCACTTACATAAATACACTTACATAATTGGTCGCATTGGGAGCTGATCGTTAAGCAGGGGTCCACTGTATATGTTGGATACAAAATTAGTAATTCTACTTGATCTTGCAAATAAGATTAGAGTTTAGAAACAACTAATAAAAGGTTGTAAGTATTAGTGACAGGATGATACCAGTTGTTTTTACTGTCAATATCAATACCATCAATATTAGCAGATAGTAACTTGAACCATCAAAATTACCCAAAACCACAAATACTAATACTCAGGTTTAGACTAATACTAATAGTACTCATACTATGGAAATTAGCTGATACCCACTGATACTTTGTCATACCTCTAGTCCCCTTAATAAAGTAATTTTCTAAAAACTAGGTGGTGGTTTACAAATGATTACAAATAGGTACTGCAAATACAAATAAGTACCACAACTACAAATAGGTATTGATACCTAACCACATATACGGAAGAAAATTGCATCACTGCATCAAGAGATTTTTGTGCATTGCTGTGCACCATTCTGGTAAAGGAACAAAATAATCTCACCTCGATCATAAGCATCACTGTTCCTGCTGTAAGAATCTTCCCGCCTCCGGTCACCACTTCGGGAATAACTTCTGTCATCAATAAAAAAACAAAATACTACAACTATTTCAGTAAAAAGCAAGTTACTATAAAGTTGTTTGGAATGAATGTGACCAAAAAACATCCTTTAAGGCACAGTGCCTTTCATACTGAAAAAATGGTAAATGCCACAGCAGTGTTTTTAAAGTATATTTATGGGAAGCAGTAAACCCATAAGGATCATAAAGCACCTGGGAAATGTGAAGACACCAAGTCTGATCCCATGGTACAATAACTACAATTCCTTGGATCAAGAGTCTTTCACCAGCATCAAGATACTCCCCCCCACCCCCAACATAAAGGAACCAAAACAGTAATATATACTGACTTTAAAATGATTTACTATTCAATTGTCAATTAATTTATAGTATCCTTGCCAACCTTCCTTAAATCGTATAAAATGATTATACTTTCGATTAATTTACTCTGATTCTAGTGAAGCATTTCAATTTTACTGGAATAACCCTCGGAATATTCTTCATTTAATAAAAAACAAAACTAAACTATTTCAGAAAGGCAGGAGTTACTGATAGTCTTTTGAAAGCTGTGTAATGTGAATAAAAAATCTAAACAAATTACAAGAAAGTTGGTTATCATAAGTAAATGGTAAACTGGGCACAAGATGACCAAGAAGGTCAAATTAAGGTAGTAAGGAGCAGTTGTCCCATAAGGTCATGAAAAGGGTGTAAGTGGTATTTCATGCATTGGGTCCAGGTACAGATAGCTTACAATTGTTGATGTATTTTCGATACTATCAGTGTACCGCACCTTATAAAGGATAGACAAAAAGAAAATTAAGCCTTGACTTAAAGTGCAATTACTGCTTACAAGTTGCAATAAGTCTAACCTGATGGCGCACTGTCCTTAACTGTTTGCAATGAATTTATTATCCCTAATGATTAAGTGCAACATCTAAATTGAACTGGCAAATAACTCTCACTCCCTATGTAATACTAAGTAAACATGAGGTGAAGTACGTGAAAGCGGAGGTGGCAGGACATGTCCATAAGCTGTGAGTGGAAGTTAATGTCTAAACACAAAGTGACAAGAAGTTGATCAGTGGTCAAGTATATCAGCAACATGGAGGAGCAAGACAGTGACCTAACGGGTGGCAATTAGAGTGGCCACTGGAGGTGCAGTTCGTCCTACATTGAGAAGGTGTAAGGAAGTTTCAGTGATGGCTACATCGAGGTTGGTAAGTATTGTTTGATGGTTGAATACATGGCTACACGGAGGAAGAACAGTATCAAGGTTCAGGGGAAAGCTAAGGGCTACATACTAGTGGAGGTGGCAAGTACAGTGCTAATGGAGGTGCAAGTACATGTCACTACTGGAGGTGGCAAGACAGTGCCACACTGGAGGTGGCAATACAGTGCTACACTGGAGGTGGCAAGTACAGTGCTACACTGGAGGTGGCAAGTACAGTGCCTACACTGGAGGTGGCAAGTACAGTGTCTACACTGGAGGTGGCAAGTACAGTGTCTACACTGGAGGTGGCAAGTACAGTGTCTACACTGGAGGTGGCAAGTACAGTGTCTACACTGGAGGTGGCAAGTACAGTGTCTACTGACGGTGCAAGGTGTGCTAACTGGAGGTCATAGGAGGTGCAATACGAGTGCTCAAGGACAGTGTCAATAAGGTGCAACGAGTGCAATACATCACAACGGAAGGGGCATTAACAGTGTCTACTAAATAAGTTATGAGCCATAAGTAGAAATGTCATCAGACAGTTGCCTATTGAAATAACTTTAGGAATTACAGTGCCTAAACTCGAAGAAGAACATTTGAACTGTGATTCTCAATAATGTTAAACAAAAAATAGAAATTTATCAAATGGTTGACATGAAAATTAATTTGATGATGTTTGATAAAAAAATGTTTTAGACATAATTGCTAAACATTACAATTCATAGCATTACCATGAAGATTTTATAGACTGTTAGTAAGAAAATGTTACTAGACATACTAGTGTATGTGGATGGACGACATCATTACCTATTGGTGTGGGGGAGACGTCGTCCATGGGTTTGGCGGAGTTTTCTTGGAGGTTTTGGAGGTTTCTTGGACTTTTTGTTCTTACTGCTAGAGGTGTCCTCCTGCTTTCCAGGTTTACTATCTTGACTTTTTATTTCATCCAGAGGGGATTCTAGAAAACCATAACCAGATTTTTTTTATTAATACGAAACTCCTTCACTTCCTCTCACCACTTACATAATTTTTTTCAACAAGTTGGCCGTCTCCCACCTAGGCAGGGTGACCCAAACAGAAAGAAAATCCCCAAAATGAAAATATTTAAAAAAAAATGTTGTAAATAATTACAATATGTTGATATGAATAAAATAACTAAAACACCTATTTAAATTTACAGTAGTATACAAAATTATAAAGTATGAAAACCTAATGAGAGTGATGAGTATGTGTATGTGTGGGGGAGGGGGGAGGGAGGGTCCTTGAAACACTAAACTGTCAGTAAAGCTCTTATACCACCAGTCACAGACTGATCACTTTAACTAGTTAGCCTTGACTTTCTTCTTTTGCACACTTGTACTAACTTGTTACTGGTCACTAGTATACTACCTTGTTACTGGTCACTAGTATACTACCTTGTTACTGGTAAGCTAGTATACTACCTTGTTACTGGTAAGCTAGTACACTACCTTGTTACTGGTAAGCTAGTACACTACCTTGTTACTGGTAAGCTAGTACACTACCTTGTTACTGGTAAGCTAGTACACTACCTTGTTACTGGTAAGCTAGTACACTACCTTGTTACTGGTAAGCTAGTACACTACCTTGTTACTGGTAAGCTAGTACACTACCTTGTTACTGGTAAGCTAGTATACTACCTTGTTACTGGTAAGCTAGTATAACTACGTTGTTACTGGTAAGCTAGTACACTACCTTGTTACTGGTAAGCTAGTACACTACCTTGTTACTGGTAAGCTAGTACACTACCTTGTTACTGGTAAGCTAGTACACTACCTTGTTACTGGTAAGCTAGTACACTACCTTGTTACTGGTAAGCTAGTACACTACCTTGTTACTGGTAAGCTAGTACACTACGTTGTTACTGGTAAGCTAGTACACTACCTTGTTACTGGTAAGCTAGTATATTACCTTGTTACTGACACTGGTCTCATAAGAGACACCGGATACAAAACTTGTCAGAATGTGTGTGTCTGTGTTAATATCTAGTAACGGTTGTGGGAATGATCCCTGCAGCACAGTCTCAATAGTAAACACTATTAAGAAATTAAGAGAGCAAAGATGTTGACACTGAAAGGAAGCAGAAGTATGCAAGATTTACCTGCTATCTTAAAGTTCATAATACAAAGATAAGATCAGCAATCCTGTCATAGTGCAAATGTTTAATACATCTGTTTCATAAAGAACAGTATTCTACTCATAGGTTGATTTTTGTCTATTAACCTATGTTCTACAAGAATGTACAGTAGGCATTGTAAATATGCATGCCCATACATGCACATTTAGCAGTCTATTTGCCCAACATATTCAAGACGTGCTAAAGCAGCTTTTGTATAGGAGAGAGAATGCCTCTTTTGCCATACTAACAAAGAATTGGTTAAATTATTGTGATTTCTTCCGTACCTCAATGACTGACCTGGAGACTCACTGAACTTAAATCCAACAGAGAAGAAAGTTTGGAAACTTATTAAACAAGATTCATGGCATGGATGTGTCCTCTAACCCCAAAAGTCTCCAGTGCCATTAAGTAAAGTGTGAGAGTGTACTGTTATTTTACCTCCATAAGTTTGCCTAGTAGACTTAAGAACTGCATAAAAGGAAGGGTATTCCTACGATATACTAGGCTAGGTCAGCAAACAGACATATTTCAGTATTACATATTTAAAACAATAGGTAAGCAGCAGTCCTGTTTTCTGTGTGATCTTGTTTTTGTGTGTACATATTCAGGATGCCTGCTGTATATTACATTTTTTAATGTAAACTGTATATACTGTATGTTAATTTAATTTGTAATAAACAACAGTGAATGATTCATTAAAAAAACTGCAAACTGGTGCAATGATAAAAAAAAAAAAAAAGGGATAACTGCCTTACTGGACTTACTTTTAAGGTTCTCCATAACCATCTTTTTCTGAAAGCATAAATAAATGTATGAATTAAAATTCAACATGAACAGATAGAAAATTTGGGATCATGACTTATAAAGTAGGAAGTTCAGGAACCAAAGCACAATAACATATGAAATGTTTTGATAATTTAAATGTTCTTATTAAACTTTATGTACATTATTTCCTGAAGATTTATACTGAACATTAATGGACTATTGACCTCCAAACTGATACCCAAGATTCCTGTCAAGCACAAATTATAAACTGCCCAATGAAATAACCGGTTATGAGAATGTAAGGGTACAGCAGATTATTTGCATTCTTGTTAATGATTTTGAGGACCACCTCAAGAACCCAGTCTCAAACCTGGGCTTCCTGGATGACATCTGATCAATCAGGCTGTTGGTGCTCATGGCACACAATCCAATGTAGTCCAGTTGAACAAAAATGTTCTGGAGGATGTATTACCAATAGACCCTTGAGTGTCTCAAAGACACTCAAGGGTCTATTGGTAATACATCAATATCTGAAGGAAAGGTGTTAAAATGACCTCTACCTTTTGCACATACTGAGCTATCACTTTTAAGCAGTCCCTAAAGAATTTTTAGGGAGTACAATCCGAGATATTTTAAGTGTTCCCAATAAATTAGAAGTCTGAGTTAATATGGGCATTGATAATCCTCTATAATTCTCCAGAACTACCATTTCACCTGCTTATAAGGGTTTGTTAATGTGCAGCAATATTCCAGTATAGAGAAGTGCCTTAGAGAACACCATCACTGGACTGGTATCTCTTGCAGTTGTGATAGTAATATTATAGTTATTTGAATTTAATATTTTCTGACAGTGTAGTCTTAGGTCCTTTAGCATTCACTTAACTCAACAGAGACAGAGTGCATTGATTTTGATTTGTATTGTCTTACAAGTTGTAGTGTATAGATTTCTTCAATGTATACACAACACAAGACCATGCTTTTTTTCCTTAACATGCTGGCTGTCTCCCATCAAGGCAGGGTGAAGAGGGAAAAAAAAAAAAAAAAAAACTCTCCCTATCACTCACACTATCATTGTCTTTGCAGAGGCACACAGATATAACAGTTCAGCTGTCACTCTAAACAGCAGATCAACCAGGCTTTGATGGATATGTGGGGCAGTGGGCCTCCAGCAGCAACAGCCTGGTTGATCAGGCAAGCACCAGATGAGCCTGGCCCATGGCCGGGCTCCGAGACTAGTTAAGCTCTCAAAACTCTTCAAAGGCATATCACTTCAATAGCTCGTCAAGTCCCGAAAACTATTCATCCTCACTCACTCCGAACATGCTCACACACATGCCTGCTCTGTAAAAAATAAATATTTTTTTTGTTACCTTGAAATGCTTCATACCACTGCAGTGCAATTCCAATGATGTTTCTGAATGCATTTCTGAAGAGCAAATCTGAAAATAAAACAAGTATGAATTATTATTCCCTGGAATAGTCTGTTTAAAATTTGGTATGCAATATAAAAGCAGGTAATACTACTTATGAAAAGGGGTAACCGAGTCATGAACGCTGATACTCGTGAATGGGGACCACAGAAATAAAGAACTGTCTTATTAAATCAGATCCAAAGCTATAAACATTCAAACAGTACAAAATTTGGGTTGAATTCACAATATTAGTTTTCTCTCAACACGACTCACAAAATCGTAATGACACGATTGCAAACAAACCACACCACGGGCGGGATTTGAACTCGCGGTCAGAGTCTCAAAACTCCAGAACATCGCGTTAGCCACTGGCTAACACGACGGTCTGGAGTTTTGAGACTCTCTGACCACGGTTTCAAATCCCGCCCGTGGTATGGTTAGTTTTCTCTCCATTTCATTTTTATCAAATGCTAAGGTGCATGAGCCATGAAGAGAGGTAAATGGAATTGAATCTTATGACACTGAAGGTTAGAAGAACAAGGGAGAGACATGATAAAATGCTCAGATAAGTTGATAGGATACAGGGTGACAAGACGAAGAAACACTTTCACTGTCTTGTCAGAGGCACACAGATGTGACAGTTCAGATGACCCTCCACACAGCAAATATCCCAAACTCCTCGTTTAGAGTGCAGGCACTGTACTTCCCACTTCCAGGACACAAATCCGGCAATTGGGCTTCCCTGAGTCCCTTCACAAAATGTTACCCTGCTCACAATCCAACAGCTCGTCAGGTCTCTTATTTAACAAGTTCATACATGCCTGCTGGATGGTCAAGTCCCTTACACACAAAACCTCCTTTACCCCCCTTTCCTTCCATGGATGGCCCCCTACCCACCTTCCTTCCACTACAGATTTATACACCCTCCAAGTAATCCTATTTTACTCCTCCTTTAAATGACTAAACCACCCAACAGCCCTCTGGATAACAGTTTTAGTAACTCTGCACCTCCTCCTAATCTCCAAGCTACATATTCTCTGCATAATGTTCACACCATATGTTGCCCTTAGGCACAACATCTCTACCGCCTCCAGCCTCCTCCTCACTGTAACATTAACAACCAATGCTTTACACTCAGATAAGAGTATCAGAACCTTACACTCTCATACTTTTTTTTTTTTTTTTTGCCTCCATGTATAACATTCTTCGTGTCCACAAATGCCTCAATGCACCACCAACCCTTTTCCATTCATTAATTCACATTTGGTTCACCTCTTCTTTCCTAGTCCCATCCGCCAACACGTCACTCCCAAATACAGTGGACCCCCGGTTAACGATATTTTTTCATTCCAGAAGTATGTTCAGGTGCCAGTACTGACCGAATTTGTTCCCATAAGGAATATTGTGAAGTAGATTAGTCCATTTCAGACCCCCAAACATACACATGCAAACGTACTTACATAAATACACTTACATAATTGGTCGCATTGGGAGGTGATCGTTAAGCGGGGGTCCACTGTATCTCCATACTCTCTTCCTCCAATCTGATATCGAGTCATTCATAACAGACATTTTTTTATTACTCTCATCACCTTGCTTTTTCCTATGTTCCTTTTCATTTTCTTATTTTACATATCCTCCCAAATTTGTCCATTAACCTCTGTCACTCTTCTTCAGAGTTTCCATCAACCTTTTATCCTCCAATATATAATCTAAGAAACTTTCATTACGTGCTATATCATACCTTGTATATATTTATTTATCCTCTTCTTCATAAAATATGTATTACTTATTACCAAACCTCTTTCTACACAGTTCAATTAAAGGCTCCCCATTTTCATTTACCCCTGGCACCCCAAATTTACCTACTACTCCCTCCACAACATTTTTACCCACTTTAGCATTGAAATTCCCAACCACAAGTACTCTCACACTTGGTTTAAAACTCCCCACACACTCACTCAACATTTCCCAAAACATGTCTCTCTCTTCTACACTTCTCTCTTCTCCAGGAGCATATACACTTACTATAACTCACTTTTCACATCCAACCTTTATTTTACTCTCACATAATCCTTGAATTAATACATTTATACTCCCTCTTTTCCTGCCATAGCTTATCCTTCAACATTATTGCTACTCCTTCTTTAGCTCTAACTATTTGAAACCCCTGACATAATCCCATTTACTTCTCTCCACTGAAACTCTCCCACCCCCTTTAGCTTTGTTTCACTTAAAGCCAGGACATCAAGCTTCTTTTCATTCATGGCATCCACAATCATCTCTTTCTTATCATTCGCACAACATCCACACACATTCAGACTTCCCACTTTGACAATTTTCTTCTTCTTTTTAGTAATCTGTACAGGAAAAGGGGTTACTAGCCCACTGTTCCTGGCATTTTAGTTGACTTTTACAACACGCATGGCTTACGGAGGAAAGATTTTTATTCCACTTCCCCATGGATATAAAAGGAAAAGTAATAAGAACGAGAACTTTTAAGTTAAACTCATAATTCTTATACTGATACAAATGTTCAGCTCTCACTTAAATATAACAAGGAAGACCATTATGATAAGATGAACAACAGTTTTCACACTTACCTCACAGTAGTAACCCAACTTTCCAGGCTGATTGCTAATGTACTTTACTGTGATGATGTTTTCACCATACAGTTTAGCTAGAAATAAAACATGCATAAAAGGTCATTAGTACAAGCAATTACATACAAGAAATACAAATTTATATAATGTTTACTTTTATATTTTTAATTCTTAAAATAAACAAATTCCAAGATAAACATGCACATGCACACACACACGCACACATTATTATGACAATAATCGGGGGACCAGGTACGCATGGATAGAAATGGGTTGTTTGATTTGGGAAGAAATCAGGGACATTGATGAGCCACAGGACAATAAAATAAACTTTTCAGTATCAAAGAAACAAGTGTAATTTAGTAAACAAAGGGGTGATGGAAGCAAACAACATGCATCACACAGTTGTAAGTACAGTGTGCATAACGCAGACTTCAGAGCCCAGGAATCAGTAAAGCTGGTCAATAATAGTTAAGAGGCAAGACCAAGATTTGTGATTTGAGCCCTGCAAATGAAACTGGCATATGCACGTACACCCTCATACATACAATACCATTGCTTGCCGATCTTTTTTGATTTGGACAGCTTCAGAATTTTTTAATGGAGTAAAACAAGTGTATCTGGATACAACTGCCTTAGTGTGATTTAAAGAATTCCTGAGCCTGCAAATATAGAACAGTTAGAGTAAAAATGGGTAAGATGAGAGGATAACAGAAATGAAAAGAAGTGATGGTTGATGCAGGACTCGCTCACAGAGAATCAGCAGAGTTAATAAAGTAAAAATTAACAACAGAGAATGCCATTAAAATATTTCTCAGACAAAAGAAATGAAAACATTGTATCACAAAGGTGTACCACTCAGTCCATAATCAACGTTCTACAATGTACACTTGTTCTACATAGGCATGGCATGTACAATGTATACTTGTTCCACACAGGCATGGCATGTACAATGTACATTTGTTCCACAAAGGCATGGCAGCATGTACAATGCACACTTGTTCCACACAAGCATGGCAACATGTACAATACAAATATATAAATGTCTTAGGGAAACTATTAACATTTATTGAGAATTTTGCTCTAGACTATTCTGGTTAAGAATACTATAGGGCGAATGCTCTTAAAACATCAACACAGACACTGATACCCGAGTGGTCTTCCAAAATAGTGCTAACAAAGTAGGTCTAACCCCACTTTACACACAAGATAGTATTTTTACTGGCCAAGGCTTAAGTGCTCAAGTGGACACACTGTTGCAAAGATCAACAAGCCATGCTGACTTGCACATGCTGACCTGTTGTTATCTGTACATGGTGATCTGGTGTTGATCTGTATGCTGTACATTAATTTAGTGCTCAAATGTATACATATACATATGTATGTTAATCTGTACATGTTGATACAGTGTTGATCTGTAAACCTTGATCAATCATCAGATTAATACAGTTGAAATAAAGAAAAAAGTCCAAAACCATCAAGCATTAGGTTTGAAACAAAGGTTATTAACACAACCAAGGCAATAAATTTTACCAAAAATACCTAAACAATAAAGTTATTAACACTACCTACCTAATCTCTCTTTTTCTTTATTACACCAATTTTTATCATGGTCGTCATTGAACTGAAGAATGTCAGTCCAATCCGTGAATTCTTGTGGAAAGTCCAAGTCATCAAGTTTAACTGGTGATTTTTTATCACACACTTTGTTTTCTTGCTGCTGTTTCTGCTCTGTGTTATGGAAATTTTTTCTTTTGTTGGCCCTACTATCCACTTCTTTAACATGATCACCATCTTGGTCCTGCTTGTATTTTTTATTGTCTTTGGAATCTCCTCGAGGTGCATCACGTTTCACTCCCGCTGAGACACTGTTTCCTGTATTCCCTAACATAGAAGAAATACTACATTAATACCCACAAAATCATAACATGATTGCAAACAAACCACAGAATGGATGGGGTTTAAACCCCTGGTGAGTGAGTGGTAAAACTCCAGGCCAGTGTGCAAGCCACTCACTGGCCTGGAGTTTTACCACTCACTGGCCTGGTGTTTTACCACTCACTGGCCTGGTGTTTTACCACTCACTGGCCTGGTGTTTTACCACTCACTGGCCTGGAGTTTTACCACTCACTGGCCTGGAGTTTTACCACTCACTGGCCTGGTGTTTTACCACTCACTGCCTGGTGTTTTACCACTCACTGGCCTGGAGTTTTACCACTCACTGGCCTGGAGTTTTACCACTCACTGGCCTGGAGTTTTACCACTCACTGGCCTGGTGTTTTACCACTCACTGGCCTGGTGTTTTACCACTCACTGGCCTGGAGTTTTACCACTCACTGGCCTGGAGTTTTACCACTCACTGGCCTGGAGTTTTACCACTCACTGGCCTGGTGTTTTACCACTCACTGGCCTGGTGTTTTACCACTCACTGGCCTGGTGTTTTACCACTCACTGGCCTGGAGTTTTACCACTCACTGGCCTGGAGTTTTACCACTCACTTGCCATGGATTCACACCCCCATCATTCTGTGGTTAAAATTAATTAATACCCTTTGTGGTAAAGGAAAATTTGTTATAATTTTAAAACATAAGGTATAAACAAAGTACAGTGGACCCCCGCATAACGATTACCTCCGAATGCGACCAATTATGTAAGTGTATTTATGTAAGTGCGTTTGTACGTGTATGTTTGGGGGTCTGAAATGGACTAATCTACTTCACAATATTTCTTATGGGAACAAATTCGGTCAGTACTGGCACCTGAACATACTTCTGGAGTGAAAAAATATCGTTAACCGGGGGTCCACTGTATCACTGAATGTTAACACAAATAATTCTCTAAGTTTATCATGATGTAGGTGGATGTATATGCACTGGTTTCAATATGTCTCCCAACACAGGTCTTAATGTATGACCTGAAGTGGTAATAATCTCCTAATATCTGTTCCAAGCATGTCATATGAGGTAACTAACATGCTTGGAGCACGGGGCTAGTAACCCCTTTTCCAGTATATATTACTAATTTTAAAGACTTTTGTTTTTCTTTTTGAGCCCCTCTGCCTTGGTAGGATACAGCCAGTTTGTTGTTAATGGTTCTGGAGATCATCACCCTTCACAGACAAATCTCAAACCAGGCTTAAATTAGAATTTCTGCTGGTAATCCAACCAGTGGAGGCGAGGCCTAACCTCTTCCTTACGACAGTTAACTTGTACCTTGTTCATTCCAACTAAGAGACTGTGGGATGAGGTCTAATGGTACTGCTTCTGTTTAACCTTGTCAGGGTTGGAATCCCTGATGCGAAACTTGCACTCAGGGTCGGAAAATTGAAAAAATGATATTCTGTTGAAATAATAATCTTTTTCTGAAGGTAATGAAACCAAAAGTATGAAATTTGATGGAAACCTCATGACATGCTCTCACTAAGTTAGCAGTCTCAGTGATATTTATGCATCAGTGATTTTGCCCACTTTGAACCCTATTTTTGGCCAATTCCATTGTTCCAGCTGACCACACTCAATAGCTATTTTGCTAGTATTCCTACCATTCTAACAATCAGAAATTGGTAATCTGTCTAATTTCACAAAATTTAAAAATAGGGTTTGCAATAAACAATGTAGACAGTCATGGCATTAAAAAAAAAAAAAACATTTCCAATATTCATTAGTTACGTTCCCAGGCCTCTCTTATATTATGCTTGCTTTCCATTCTGAATTTTTATTCATAAAAAAAAAAAAAAAAGAGAAGATCTATTGTAATGCAGACTACTGCATTATAGTAACAATTGTATAAATAATGTCAACACATTTGTGAACATGTGTTAGACCAACCAGTTGGACGTGTATTGGATGAGTGATGTAATTTGTGTACCCTGGAATATCAGCAAAAAATCATACATTTTTGCTTCTTTGGGCTCTATTTCAAGCTAATTTCAGTCCTGAAACCAATCAAAATCATCTCTATTTCTGTAATAAAACTTCCATTCTATTAAATGAGACCAAGAACACAACCATAAAAAAGCACACCGCAAAGCCGCTGTTTAAAACCAAAAACACGGGTGCAGAATTTTTTTTATATGGTGCACATTTAACTCACAGACCCATTCTCTCATATCAAGAACCAAATTCACTGCTCACAGCTTATCTGAGAGAGCCGAGCTGAAAAACACAGAACAGCAGTGACCCAGGCTTCAAAGCCATCGCCCAGTGGGACCCACCCCAAACAGGTTAACAATAATTAGCTTAAATTTTCTACCAAGGAGCAATATTACCTCATAACAAAGTTGAAGTTATTAATTTTAAACATTCCTCATGAATCTTTATTAAATTTTTAACTAGGTGGTTCAGTAAGCGTGTTTAGGTCACAATCAACTGACAAAGTGCCACTGAGCATGCCACTGTATGAGTAAACCTATATCAGGATAAATTTTCCTGTTTCTCCTGACCAAAAGAAAATGTCCAAAAGTTAGTAAAAATACTTAAAATCAAAGAAAATCTAGTGATGCTTACCTTGATCACTCCACTGTTGGTTAGTTGCTTCTAATGGGTTTGCAGCTTCATTATCACATAAATCGATGATTTCAAATTCTGAAATTATAATCTAAATTTGTAACAGCAATTATTTTGTACCCAATACTGAAATAAAAAAAAAATTCCTTTCAAGCCAAAGTAAAAAAAATCCCACTATGTACTTAATGCATCTCTATATTTGAGACATGACAGACAGTATGGAAAACTCAACCTCTTAACTGTGGTATATAATATAAAATACTACTGATGTATACAGTATATCTCTGTAGATAGTGTAAAAATTATGAGGGAGGGAGGGAGGGAGGGAAATGCAAGATGGTAAGAGGAAACAACAGAACTTTCTATGGAAAAAGTAACAGACAAACCTAAAGTTCAATTAAAGTAAGTCAGGGAAACTAAGATAAGACACACAAAAAACTCTGAGGCATAGAAAAAGTACACAGAAATGAAACTGCATATGAATGGAAAGAAGTGCAGACCCAATACAAATACAATGATACTGGGAAACACTTCTTCAGTGTAAGAATAGTAAACAAAAAAGTGACATGAGCTACCTCACACAGTTTATATGTAAAGTAAAACTATTTATGCCAATTAAAATGAGGCAGACCCAAGAACTAGACCTCACCCCCCATCCTAAGAGGGGAGGGGGGAGAGGTCTATGTTAAGTCAACTGAACCCCACTGATGCTCACCATCGTAGTTAATGGTGTTATCAATTTTCTTCTTTTCCAAACATTTGCCTGCAGTGTGACCATTATCTTCATTATCAGTGGTCACAGGAAAATTACCACTAGTGACTGCACTGATGTCGCCCCAGGATGACAAAGCTTTTACAGAGTCCAAGTCCAATCCAAGGTTTTGTTGTGGCACTTCAGCTGGAATAAATAATTTTATTCTTCACTGATACATACTGGCATATACAGTACAATACTACACATTATGTAAGAATAAGTTTATTACTTTTAGCATTAAATCTCTACAACTTTTAACAACCTACCTGCTATTCTATACATTTCCAACACCAACCATATTTCTGAACTATTTCAAATCCACGAAGGCAACAAATATCTCCATACCTTTATCTAAGTATCAATAAATTCTTCAGTGAGATATTTAGCAATAGTATACTGTATATTGTAATAAACAGAATAAAGGAAATCAGCTCTAATATACATTACTTGGTCTGCATATTGGTTGGAGAACTGGTCGTAACTCCAAGTGGTTGGTAAATGAGTACATCACTAAGTGAGGAGAGGCTGTACTGTACTATGTAATACCATACTGATCAAGCTATTATTGTAATGTGTTTTAATGTAATGCATTCCAACAATACAATTAAATGTGTGGGATCACAAAAATATTTAGCCATTTTTTGGTACAAATTAATGCACATGAAACCTGCACACACAAATTACAAAAGATAAACAAGAAAAAAGTTGTAAATAAACAATATGGTAAAGAAAATAAACTTATGGTAAAGAAAAAGATAATTTTTATTTTGAAAAATAGTTGAAAAACATAGTTCGGACAGTTTTTTCTTTTAATCAACGTACATATCTTTATAGGATTGAATACCATTTTGTAATAGCTGCCTAAGCCATTGTTCAATATTTGGATCCATGCTCATTATAAAATCACAAACATCATCTACTTTCACAATTAATGTTGATAGCTCATCCAATATGAATTCTTTCATGGGGGGCAGCATTTTCTTCTTGATTTTCCTCTGTTTCTTCATATAAACATTGGTGAGCTATTTCCACAAGTGCTGCATCACCAAAGTCATCAGAATGCAAGTCAATGCACTGAAGCACATTTCACAATCAAAGTTTCTAATCTGATGTTTCTGAAGCTGCACAATGTTTTCACAAACAGTTTCAATATGGGAGTCAAAACCAGCAAAATCATTGGAAGAATGCAGTGATGCATTGTGTGACAGCATCACCTTCTAAACATTGTGTGACAGCATCACCTTCTAAACATTGCGTGACAGCATCACCTTCTAAACATTGCGTGACAGCATCACCTTCTAAACATTGCGTGACAGCATCACCTTCTAAACATTGCGTGACAGCATCACCTTCTAAACATTGCGTGACAGCATCACCTTCTAAACATTGCGTGACAGCATCACCTTCTAAACATTGCGTGACAGCATCACCTACTAAACATTGCGTGACAGCATCACCTTCTAAACATTGCGTGACAGCATCACCTTCTAAACATTGCGTGACAGCATCACCTTCTAAACATTGCGTGACAGCATCACCTTCTAAACATTGCGTGACAGCATCACCTTCTAAACATTGCGTGACAGCATCACCTTCTAAACATTGCGTGACAGCATCACCTTCTAAACATTGCGTGACAGCATCACCTTCTAAACATTGCGTGACAGCATCACCTTCTAAACACTGCGTGACAGCATCACTTCTAACATTGCGTGACAGCATCACCTTCTAAACATTGCGTGACAGCATCACCTTCTAAACATTGCGTGACAGCATCACCTTCTAAAACAAGCAGTTTCATCTACGTTAAAAATTTGCTCATCTTCATAGCCATTTCCTTCAATAAATTTTTTTTTTAGATCATTAGAAAGTCTTGCAGCTGCCTCACTGTGTGTTGTCACTTCGATCAATAATTCGAACATTAAGGAATCCCATACGCTTTTTAAAGTTGTAACACCAGCCATGATTTACCAAAACACTTTCTCCTTCACTGCCATTTCCTTTTTTAACATTGAATAGACTTTTTGCTTTAGCTTGAATCATAGTCTCACTCAGTGGAAATCTTTTTTGGTGGCAGTTTTCAATCCATAACATTAAAAGATGTTCCATATTATCCATTTCAGAACTACAATTTTTAACAATCCAATCTCTTTTTGATATTAAGATGTTGTAGCCATTCCATGTGTCTGTTTTATATGTGCATGTACCGATGCTTCATTCATTTTTTAGTCATGTGATACACTATCTTAATGTTTTACAATTTCTAGTTTTTCATCTAATGTTAACCATTTACATTTACTAAAACACTCACCATCATTGCATTTCCTCTTTCCACTCATTTTTTTAACACATGGGCCATCTCCCACCGAGGCCAGATGACCCCCCCCCCAAAAAAAAAAAAACTATCATTCACACTATCACTGTCTTTGCAGTGCAGGCACTGTACTTCCCACTTCCAGGATTCGAGTCCAGCTGGTAGACAACAACCACCCAGGGAGGTACTACTGTCCTGACAAATAAGTGTAAGATGGAAACCTGTATTTGTTTTACATGATGGTGGGAATCCTGGTGCCTTTTTTTCGTCTCATAAACCACAAGATAACAGGCATACCTTGCGCTACTTTTATTTGCACTTACGGTACACTACACATGCATGCACATGATGTATTTACTACACTCATCTGAATTTTCTTTGATTTTTCTTAACAGTTCTTGCTTTTATTTCCTTTCATACCCATGGGGAAGTGGAAGAAGAATCTTTCATCCATAAGCCATCTTTCCTCTTATTAAAAGTCAACTAAAATGCTGGGAGCAATGGGCTAGTAACCCCATCTTTTGTATGACTTACTAAAAATTAAAAAAGAGAAGCTTTCTGCTCATATTTGTGCATAAAAAGGGTACCAGTGCCTTATACAATAAAAAAAATTGTGTATACGTATGTACTATATAAGACTGCACAACTTCACTGTTCAGAGTAGTGCAATACTGATGTTCGTATCACACTAGTCCTGTACGTAGCAGCAGTCCAATATCAGTGCATAATGCAGTTATTTAAAATTTATATTATTAAATTTATGAACTGCATTATATCAAACCTTGTACTATTCAAAAACCCTACTATGTAAGGTATTACTGTAATTTACTTACCCTGTATTTTGAAAGACATTATATACCTGAAAAATGGATACCACATAAAAAATTTTTTACTAATACTTTTTTGTACTGTACATGTATTAAAATAACTGTCTACTGAAGTTACAGTAGAGACTAACATCACTATGGATAGTGCAAATATTATCAAGGGAGGGAAATAAATGCAAGATAGTAAGAGCCCACAACAGAACTTTCTAAGGAAAAAGTAATGGACAAACCTCGAGTTCAGTTAAAGTATGTGCACAGCAAAGAAATTATAAGTGAGGGAAACTACAATAAGACACACAAAAAACTCTGAGGCATAGAAAAAGTACACAGAAATGAAATAGCATATGAATGGAAAGAAGTGCAGACCCAATACAAATACACAGTGGACCCCTGGTTATCGGCCGGTTTTGTTATCGGCCAACTCGGTGATCGGCCGTTTTTTCGGCGCCAGTTTATTGGTCGTTAATTCGGTGATCAGCCGTTTGTGACACGTCTGTCTGCAGGCCCCAGCCGCTTGAGTGTCAGTTTGGCCGTGTCTCTGGGCAAGTGAGGAAGCTTCTGTTTATTCATCTAAACATTTTGCTATAATCCATTGTTTTTTGTGGTTATTGATCGAGTGCAACTGAAAAATAAGCAACTATGAGCCCAAAGAAACACGTTACATAGTATATAAAAACATGTAATGTTTATATGCAATGTATATTTAATAATAATCACCGGTACATAAAATGTCTTACTTTACGTTAATATAGACATTTTCATTAATCCATCAATGATCTCTTCTTCAAAAGTGGACCCTCAACCAATGGCGGCATCGACTAATGGCGCTCTTTGGCGCCAAAATATTGGCTCTACCAACAGCGAAAAACTTGTCTAAAGGCTTTCGTCTCAAACGTGTCCATGCGGACTGAGCGGGCCCAGCCACTCGAAGATCCCATGTATAGCCAGTGTGCCATTGTTTACAAGCCATTGTGGTAGATTCCACGTGTACCCGAGATATATTTTGTATTATTCCATTGTTTTTAGTGCTTGTAACAACTAAATAAGCCAACATGGGCCCCAAGAAAGCCTCTAGTGCCAATCCTGTGGTAAAAAGGGTGAGAATTACAATGGAATTGAAGAAAGAGATCACTGAAAAATATTGAAGTGGAGTGCATATGTCCGAGTTGGAAAGGCTATATAACAAACCCCATTCAACCATCACTACCATATTGGCGAACAGAAAGGCTATCAAGGAAGTTGTTGTTGCAAAAGGTGCAAGTGAAAAGGCAAGGCAGTTGTCTCCAAATAGTGCTGCTGTTGATGAATTTAAGACCAGCAAAGGCTGGTTTGAGAGATTTAAGAATTGTAGTGGCATACACAGTGTGATAAGGCATGGCGAGGCTGCCAGTTCAGCAAAAAAGCAGCTGAAAAACATGTGCAGGACTTTAAGGAGTACATAAACACTGAAAACTTAAAACCCCAACAAGTGTTTAATTGTGACGAAACAGGCCTGTTTTGGAAGAAAATGCCAAACAGGACCTACATTACTTAGGAAGAAAAGGCACTCCCAGGACACAAGCCAATGAAAGACAGGCTAACACTAATGTTGTGTAGTAATGCTAGTGGAGATTGCAAAGTGAAACCTTTACTTGTGTATCACCTGAAACTCCCAGTGTGTTCAAGAAAAACAATATTGTCAAGGGTAATTTGTGTGTGATGTGGAGAGCAAACAGTAAGGCATAGGTCATAGGGAAATTTTCCTGGAGTGGTTTTACAGTGTGTTTGGCCCCACTGTGAAAAAATTACCTCCTGGAAAAGAAATTGTCACTCAAGTGCCTCTTGGTAATGGACAATGCTCCTGCTCATCCTCACGACTTGCAAGAGCAAATTGCGGGGCAGTTTAGCTTCATCAAAGTGAAGTTTTTGCCTCCTAATACAACTCCTCTCCTCCAGCCCATGGACCAACAGGTCATTTCAAACTTCAAAAAACTCTACACAAAAGCAGTGTTTCAAAAGTGCTT